GGTATATTCCATGCGTGGTAATTCGACGCGTGGTGTATTCCACGCGTGGTAATTCGACGCGTGGTGTATTCCACGCGTGGTAATTCGACGCGTGGTGTATTCCACGCGTGGTAATTCGACGCGTGGTGTATTCCACGCGTGGTAATTCGACGCGTGGTGTATTCCACGCGTGGTAATTCGACGCGTGGTGTATTCCACGCGTGGTAATTCGACGCGTGGTGTATTCCACGCGTGGTAATTCGACGCGTGGTGTATTCCACGCGTGGTAATTCGACGCGTGGTGTATTCCACGCGTGGTATATTCGACGCTTGGTAATTCGACGCATGGTGTATTCCACGCGTGGTAATTCGACGCGTGGTGTATTCCACGCGTGGTAATTTGACGCGTGGTGATTCGACGCGTAGTTATTCGACGCGTGGTGATTCAACGCGTGGTAAATTCGACGCGTAGTAATTCAACGCGTGGTAAATGAGGACGAGACGATTGTAGATCTATTTAATGTTTAATGGCAATTGACTGGTAGAATAGTAAAGCTAGTTGTAAAGAAATATGAAACGATAACGTAAGAAAGAAATTCAAACTTTGCTTCTTGTAATATCACTTCAGCGTATTTAGTGTCAGCATATAAGTTAGCACTGCATAAGATAAGGAGTAACAGATTCCCCTGAACTTAACCGTGAAAAGTGATCCATGCACGCGACTGTACATATCGAATCGATGGTACACGAAATCGTGTCGCACCGAAGGAAACATTGGAGGGACGTTATCTGGCAATTAGTATCGCGCGGAGGGCGGCAGGTGAGAGAGAGCCGCTTTTCCTCCACTAACTCAGGAAGCAGCTGCCACCTTCTCGCTTTTATAAAGATATTAACAATACGAAACGAGAGTAAAAGTAGATCCAACCGTGTCCATTCGATCGTGTCGACTAATGCGTCACTCTATCGAGATAGCACATGCACGCACCCAATAACGTCTAATAAATTAATAATTCAGCAGCTCGGTCTTAAGATCCCGATCTTATGTATAATTTACCGGTTGTGACGGCCTCGTTCGAAGTAAAGAATGTGTCGTTCTTTTTAATGAGGAGGTTTCTATATTCGTAGGAGTGGGATTTTGGGAGTTTGGGAGTTTGGGAGTTTGGTAATTTGGGATTTGGAGAGTTTGGGGTTTGGGAGTTTGGGAGTTTGGGAATTTGGGACCTTGGGAGTTTGGGTCCTTGGGAGTTTGGGACCTTGAGAGTTTGGGACCTTGCGAGTTTGGGTCCTTGGGAGTTTGGGACCTTGAGAGTTTGGGACCTTGAGAGTTTGAGACCTTGAGAGTTTGGGACCTTGCGAGTTTGGGACCTTGCGAGTTTGGGTCCTTGAGAGTTTGGGGCCTTGAGAGTTTGGGACCTTGGGGACCTTGGGAATTTAGGACCTTGGGAGTTTGGAACTTTGGGAGTTTGGAACTTTAAGAGTTTGGGGCCTTGCGAGTTTGGAAGTTTGAGATTTTTGAATTTTAGGACTTTGGAATTTCGGGACTTTCGGATTTTGGGACCTTAGGATATTGAAAACTTGAGATATTAAAATTTTGAGAAGGTTGAGATCTTGGGAGATTGCGATCTTGAGAGATTGGCACTTCGAGAGAGTGGTACCTTGGGTATTCAAAGCTTACAAGAATGTAACATTGAAAGATCGGGACTTTATAAACAGCAAAAAACCCATGAAGTCTGCTCAACGAAGTTTATATTGCAAAGAAATTTCCGAAGAATGTGATACATTTTGAATAAAAATATGCTGCAAAATGGATACTTTCGCGGTAAGAGTTAAAACCGCATACAACAAGGATTCGCGTACAAGAGCCGGATGAAAGTCGGAAAGTTCATGCGTGCGTCGATCTATCGTCGCACACGCAAGGTTCGTTTTCACGGCATCGCGTTTCAATCTCGCGTTCGTGCACGCACACGTGATAATATTGTTGCGTCGCGGAAATGCGAATTCGCACGCTCCAAATGATATTCATAACGCGACGCCCATTAATTCCTCATTGTCTTTCTGGGTTGGGTTCTTCGACGATTTTTCCTCCCTTTCACCTCTTTTCTTCGTTCTTTTTTTTTCACGCGGGTGAAGTACAGAGAAGTAGCGCGATAACGTATCAATGGAGATTCTGTTTCCTGTGGTTGCGTGCGTTCCCGAGGTTTAAAATTGACTCGATCCTCGTTACACGATTTCCCTTGTGGGAGTGAGATACACGATCAATTTTTGCAGGGATACACGCCGTTGCATATTGCCATGCAGTTTGATCACGAGAACATCTTCAATCTTTTGGTCCAAGTCTATGGTAAGTCTAAGACATTCAGAAGACATTTCGTTACTGTTTTAGTCCTTTGCACTCCTCAATTTCTGTTACCTAACAAATAATTTATTTATAAAACAAAGAAGGGGTTCTCAGTAAAATGTATTGTAACGCTGTGAAGTATGACAAATACATTTTTCATTTATTATAATTAGTAATTAAATTAAAATATACAATTCAACCAGTCTATTTATCTGAGTCATTCATAAGATCCAAGAGAAATGTGATATTGAGGTACACTCGACATAGGAGTGCAAAGGGTTAAAGATATTTAATCTTCAGAAGTGAAAGTAATTTAGAAGACATTTTGTTACTGTTTTAACCCTTTACACTCTTTAATTTCTGTTCCCTAATAACTCCTTTATTTATAAAACAAAGAAGGGGTTCTCAGTAAAATGTATTGCAACACTGTGAAGTACGACAAATATATTTTTCATTTATTATAATTAGTAATTAAATTAAAATATACAATTCAACCTGTGTATTTATCTGAATCATTCATAAGATCCAAGAGAAATGTGATATTGAGGTACACTCGACATAGGAGTGCAAAGGGTTAAAGACATTTAATCTTCAGAAGTTTAAAACGTTTAAAAGACATTTCATTACTGAAATTGTACTTCGTTTCATTACGCCAGCATTCAAAATCATAACTCTTGATATCTGAACTTTTACCTCCACATTAATAATCCTCCAAGCATAGATTCATTATACGTGTAAGTTCATCGCCCGTTCAGGAGTAAAATAACGCGCACGCCAGAATGCACTTCGTGCATATCTTTAACCCGTTAATCGTGTCGTTTTTCATCCCGATAGATACCACCTTCTTAATAAAAAGAACCAGCTAACCTATCTCGTTCACGATATATGGAAATACAAAGTATTTTTTCTCCCCAATTAAAGTGTAACGATACAATCAAACACTTCAACAAATACATCGGTCCCATATATTCTTCCTAACGAGTTAAAAGAGCAACAAGAACGAATAAATTTACGGAGTTCATAAAAATTTACATAAATGTCTGTGTTTACAGGTGCGAATCAAGAGATACGCGATTACAGCGGAAAGAAGGCCAGACAGTATTTGGTCTCTCAGGAGGCCGCTGTCAGTCAGGACACCTTCCGCAGTAAGTATTCACCTCGTAACGAGTAAAAGTACGCTCCATTAACCGTGTAAATTCAGATCGACCGTTTTATCGTTATGTACGATCGTTTGTGATCGAACGACCAAATTTTACGCGCACGTTTCGGGAGACTAATTACGATGCATTTTTATTACACGTTAAGCTTCAAAAATTACGTTCATTACGGGACGTGTGATGGGCCAACAATGCCTGAATTATGGTTGCGTTAAGAGGTCCTCTGTGTTAACGAACGTGTCGTCGAATTGCAGAAGCTTCGTTCTTCGATTAAAATGTTGCAGATTTGTGTATCGGTTGGGAGGTGTAAGTTCAGTTATCTTCTTTTAAGGAAAAGGAGTGATGTATTGGGAAAGTGGGATTTTTGGAGAATTCGAAATTTAGGAGGTTGGAACTTTGAGAGAATGGGATTTTGGAAGAGTGGAACTTTGGGAGATTGGGACTTTGAGAGAGTGGAATTTTTGGAAGAGTGGAACTTTGGGAGATTGAAATTTCGAGAGATTGGAACTCTGAGAGATTAGGATTTTGGAAGAGTGGAACTTTGGGAGATTGGAATTTTTGGAAGAGTGAACTCTGAGAGATTGGAACTTTGAGAGATTGGAATTTTGGAAGAGTGGAACTTTGGGAGATTGAAATTTCGAGAGATTGGAACTCTGAGAGATTGGAACTTTGAGAGATTAGAATTTTGGAAGAGTGGAACTTTGGGAGATTGAAATTTCGAGAGATTGGAACTCTGAGAGATTGGAATTTTGGAAGAGTGGAACTTTGGGAGATTGGAATTTTTGGAAGAGTGGAATTTCGGGAGATTGGAATTTCGAGAGATTGGAACTCTGAGAGATTGGAATTTTGGAAGAGTGGAACTTTGGGAGATTGGAATTTTTGGAAGAGTGGAACTTTGAGAGATTGGAACTCTGAGAGATTGGAATTTTGGAAGAGTGGAGCTTTGGGAGATTGGAACTTGGAGAGATTGGAACTTTGAGAGATTAGGATTTTGAAATGTGGAGAAGTAGTTTTGGTAGAATGCTATTTTTGAACTTTGCTGACCATTGCATACTAAAAGAATTCTCCCAAAATTCTCCCTTAGTTTCCAAAACTGAATTTACACCTCTCAGTACACGAAGAATTAATGGCCCCGAAAGTCGATAAATAATCGAACGTATGAATCACGCTAGAATGATTAATCGCTCGAAAATCAATAACGTGCTGTTTAGTATTTTAGATGAAATAAGATTAAGAATCGACGCGATAAGTTGTCGATTAATGCTCAATGGCCAGGGTAAAGCAATTATAGATTACATCACCAGGTACACACCGCAGTTTGCATCGCTTTCATACGCTTCGGCTTTGGTCTTGTTCTTCTTGGCTTTTATTTGTACTATCGGCTTTCTTTTGATCGCGTGCATGTCACGAAGATCTCGGTTTGTCGTATCTTCACTCCGCTTCCTAGTTTCCACACATTTCCAAGCGTGCATGCTGCTGCTACATGAAATATTAACACGTTCGGATACGCATCTGATCCTCCGTTTTATTTTCTATTTTTTTTCCGTGGAATAAGCAACTATGTATTCTTGAATCAGGAGTATCAATCTACGAGCATGTTGGATTCATAAATCTTGGTGGAATAGTAGTCTTGACGTATCTGGAATCTAAAACGTTGGAGATTTAATTAACGCGTCCACTCGTTCGATATAACTCCGTAATTATCAGCTAATCAGTTTATTCCTCTGCAGGTTCATGCTTCGCGAAACAAGTTTGTTGAACGACAAGAATAAATCACGCGAGTTACGTGCTTTTTGTACGTAACATCGAATCGATTTTTCATGTTAAAATCGTGTAATGATTATTTAGAATTAAATTTCCGAGAGGGAACATTAATACGTAACTAAAAACATTCGTCGCAAGTAATACATTCCCTTTTTCTATTTTAACTCTTGAACGGTACATTAAGTATTACTTTTTAAATATATTACTTCAAAATTCAAGTTCAGACAAAATTCTAAATGTGCTGAACAAGTCTGAGTTTTCTGCCGTTCCAGGGTTGATCCTAAAATTTTGCAACTTCCAGCTTAAAATTTAATAATGCTCGCAATAGGCATCGAATATTCCAATGGTAGATAACCTTTCTTTCTCAAAATGTACCTAGCACGTTGACTGCTACTATTCATATTAGGTTACATACTATAGATAGCAGAATATTATGAACATAAATAAGTAATTCAATTTTTAATCTCTTCAGTGTGGCAGTCAACGTGTTAACCCCTTGCACTATGATGTTTTTGTCAAGTCAACTGACTAATTTCAGCCATAACATGAAAACAGACACAGAAACTTGAAATGTTATGTGAATTTGGTATCATGCAGTCGTTGACTATACAAATTATAGTTGGACTTGAACTCTAAATTAAAATGTTTTCAAAATTCGAGTAAAATTGGTCATAGCCGAAGTATGAGTCCGTCACGAGTCAGACTCGACAAAATAGTGTAAGGGGTTAACCCTCTGCTGACTTCATATAAGTACATGTATGTCAACTTTGTTTAGAGACTTGAATCTAAAAAAATTTTCAAATACGGCGCGTTGTAGTTTGACGCGCCGTGATTCGACGTATGATAATTCGACGCGTGGTAATTCTACGCGTAGTAATTCGGCTCGTGGTAATTCAACGTGTGGTGATTCAACACGTAGTAATTCGAGGCGTGGTAATTCAGCACGTGGTAAATTCGACGCATGGTAATTCGGCACATGGTAAATTCGATGCATGGTAATTCGACGCGTAGGATTTCAACGCGTGGTGATTCGGCACGTGATAAATTCGACGCGTGGTAATTCGGCGCATAGGAATTCGACGCGTGGTAATTCGACGCGTAGGATTCCAACGCGTGGTGATTCGGCACGTGGTAAATTCGACGCTTGGTAATTCGGCGTATAGGAATTCGACGCGTGGTAATTCGACGCGTAGGATTCCAACGCGTAGGATTCCAACGCGTGGTAAATTCGACGCGTGGTAATTCGGCGCATAGGAAATCGACGCGTGGTAATTCGACGCGTAGGAATTCGACGCGTGGTGATTCGGCACGTGGTAAATTCGACGCGTGGTAATTCGGCGCATAGGAATTCGACGCGTGGTAATTCGACGCGTAGGATTCCAACGCGTGGTAATTCGGCACGTGGTAAATTCGACGCGTGGTAATTCGGCGCATAGGAATTCGACGCGTGGTAATTCGACGCGTAGGATTCCAACGCGTGGTAATTCGGCACGTGGTAAATTCGACGCGTGGTAATTCGGCGCATAGGAATTCGACGCGTGGTAATTCGACGCGTAGGATTCCAACGCGTGGTAATTCGGCACGTGGTAAATTCGACGCGTGGTAATTCGGCGCATAGGAATTCGACGCGTGGTAATTCGACGCGTAGGATTCCAACGCGTGGTAATTCGGCACGTGGTAAATTCGACGCGTGGTAATTCGGCGCATAGGAATTCGACGCGTGGTAATTCGACGCGTAGGATTCCAACGCGTGGTAATTCGGCACGTGGTAAATTCGACGCGTGGTAATTCGGCGCATGGTAAATTCGATGCGTGGTAATTCGACGCGTAGGATTTCAACGCGTGGTGATTCGGCACGTGGTAAATTCGACGCGTGGTAATTCGGCGCATAGGAATTCGACGCGTGGTAATTCGACGCGTAGGAATTCGACGCGTGGTGATTCGGCACGTGGTAAATTCGACGCGTGGTAATTCGGCGCATAGGAATTCGACGCGTGGTAATTCGATGCGTAGGAATTCGACGCATACATCCCCATACAGGGACCCACAGAAACGATACAAATTCTAAAACCCTTAAATTAACAATAATTTTAGAATTTCTATCTGTAGCTCAAAACTGTATACAGAGGGTTGAAGGTCTACATCTGTACCCTAGAACCTTAACTTTCGATAGAAGTAACTAAACGCAATCAGCCCATCTATAACAAACCTTCTCCCTGATTTTATACCAATCTCAATAATCCTGATTTAATTCCAAAAATCATCGGCATGCATCTTCAGCTTGCTTGACGCAGTCCCGAAGAGGAGTAAAGGTATAGCCACAGGTAGCCCATGAATCGACGACACGATATTTAAATAGACAGCGGAAATGGGTGTTTCGGGCTCTCTTTCTCTCCTCTCTGTTCTCTGTTCTCGGTGAGTATCGGGGCTCTGGAAGTATTCTTCTGTTGTAGGGATTACTGCTGCCGCTACGCTCAGGCAAGTTCAGAAGCACACCTCTGCTAAAGTAGTAAAGCGCTTGTGTCGCAAGATTAAAGTAGCCGCACCTTAGAGTAACGTATGACTGTCACTTTTGTCGACGCTGACGTGAGTATTCTTTCGCGTTGAATCCTCGGGTCCACTCTTTGCTACTTATCAGGTACACGAGCACATTTCACTCTCTTATTCCGTTCGCGGAATTCTCGGATCGTGGACCCGTTTATTCTTAAATTATGTACCGGTGGTCGATCGACCGAGAGTATTGACGAGAACTCGCCAGGTGACGTGTACTGACCTGGCCATCGAATTTGGACCATATTTCTTCTTCTTGTACTATATCTTAGAATATCTTGTACTATAGGCTTTCAAAGTGGAACACTAATTACATAGTTTAATGATTATGAAAGTATTACACGACTTAGCACATCCTTTACCCGCTGCTTCGTCAGATATCTACTGCTTTATAGTATAAAATTGAACTCCAACTCTCGAAGTTCCAATGTCTCGAAGTTCCAATCTCCCGAAGTTCGAATCTCCCAAATTTCCACTCTTATAAAAATTCCAATCTCTCCAAGTTCCAATCTCCCAAAGTTCCACTCTTCCAAAAATTCCAATCCCTCCAAGTTCCAATCTCCCAAAATTCCAATCCCCCAAAATCCTAATCTGTCAAACTTCCAATCTCCAAAAGTTCGAATTCTCCAAAAATCCCACCTTCCTAATCTTTCCTAAACTTTTAAAGTATGTATTTTAAGTAGAAGTGATAAAGTATTAAATAGTAAGGGGTAGTGATAAAGTAATTGTATATTTAGTGATTATACCTAAGAACAGAAGTAATACGTGTTTATAGTACTTGCATGTAGTCCTAATTCAATGGCCAGGTGACATCCGTGACGTTCTCGTCTTTGCAGTCGCAAACGATGCTTGTTGTGATCGCGTGAATTATTGTTATCACTGTTGTTGTTATCGTTGTTATTGTTACTGTTGAACGTCGAGTTACCTGCGTGTTCTGTGCTTATGCTTCTAAAATTCTAATCTCTCAAAGTTCCAATCACTCGGAGTTCCAATCTCTCGAAGTTCCAATCTCCCAAATTTCCATTCTTCCAAAAATTCCAATCTCTCAAAATTCCAATCTCTCGAAGTTCCAACCTCCGAAATTTCCACTCTTCCAAAAATTCCAATTTCTCAAAGTTCCAATCTCTCGAAGTTCCAATCTCCCAAAGTTCCACTCTTCCAAAAATTCCAATCCCTCCAAGTTCCAATCTCCCAAAATTCCAATCCCCCAAAATCCTAATCTGTCAAACTTCCAATCTCCAAAAGTTCGAATTCTCCAAAAATCCCACCTTCCTAATCTTTCCTAAACTTTTAAAGTATGTATTTTAAGTAGAAGTGATAAAGTATTAAATAGTAAGGGGTAGTGATAAAGTAATTGTATATTTAGTGATTATACCTAAGAACAGAAGTAATACGTGTTTATAGTACTTGCATGTAGTCCTAATTCAATGGCCAGGTGACATCCGTGACGTTCTCGTCTTTGCAGTCGCAAACGATGCTTGTTGTGATCGCGTGAATTATTGTTATCACTGTTGTTGTTATCGTTGTTATTGTTACTGTTGAACGTCGAGTTACCTGCGTGTTCTGTGCTTATCGACCATACTCAGGATACATGTAACGATCTTCGGATCGACGCGTGTTCGATGCAAGACAAGCGAAGATAAAAGAAATAAACGTCGCTGCGATACGCGAGCAATCGAAGTGGCAGTAGTACCTGAAAACACACCCAGCACTGTAGATGTTGTGACTTAACCTGTAACCGGCGATGTGAACTTTTTAATGTTTTAGCATAAAATCTTGGAGTTCCAATCTTCAGAAATTTCACTCTTTCAAAATTCTGATATCTCAAAGTTTTGATTTATTAGAATTCCAATCTTTTGAATTTCCAATCTCTCAAAGTTCCACTCTTCCAAAATTCTAATCTCTCAATGTTCCAATCTCTCGGAGTTCCAATCTCTCGAAGTTCCAATCTCTCAAAGTTCCACTCTTCCAAAATTCTAATCTCTCAAAGTTTCAATCTCTCGGAATTCTAATCTCTCGAAGTTCCAATCTCCCAAAGTTCCACTCTTCCAAAATTCTAATGCCTCAAAGTTCCAATCTCTCGAAATTCCAATCTCCCAAAGTTCCACTCTTCCAAAATTCTAATCTCTCAAAGTTTCAATCTCTCGGAATTCTAATCTCTCGAAGTTCCAATCTCCCAAAGTTCCACTCTTCCAAAATTCCCAATCTCTCCAAGTTCCAATCTCCCAAAGATCCACTCTTCCAAAATCCCAATCTCTCAAAGTTCCAATCTCTAAAAGTTCGAATTCTCCAAAAATCCCACTTTCCCAATCTTCCAACTTCCAAAGTCCCAAAGTAGCTAATATATTCCTGAAGTACTACCAATCGCAGAAATTTCAAAATTTTCCTAATAACATAGTTTACTTGTACTTAATCATAGTATAATATATGGTACATAAGTTGTTACTATATAAATATTTATCACACTGCGTAAATTATATAAATTGCATTCTTGCATTATAGGAGTGTACCTCATACAGGTATACTTACACAATATTTTTACGTATAAGAACGCAAAGAAGTGCAATATAGTTCACATCACCGGTTAAGAATTCTGACCAGTGTTTTCTTTGTTGTCACCGTCACACGTGATAATAAAGCATGCGAGCATGAGAAACGCGTATTCGTCACCAGTTTCCCAGATTCGCGTCATGAACCGTATTGTATCAGAAAGGGATGGGGGCACGTTTTCGAAAGCTCGATTAATGTCACGCGACTTCGAAGTAACATAAACCTTCTTAACTTAATTAACTTCTTCCTCTCGAGCGTGTATTAGAATGTATCTATGTTGAGGCTAACATAGGAAGTCGAGCGAATCGATTGCTAATATTTGTAGGAAGAGTTCGATGTGAATGGGTGCTGTTTGTAAATTCATCGCTTCTTTAGATTTCTATTATCAAATATACTTCTTAGTTTCAAGGGGTAGTCGTTGTAGTCGAAATTATTTAGGAAGACATGAACTTGAAGGCTAATGGTGTTCAGGGTTAATGATGTTCAATTTTAGAAATGTAAATTGTGCAATCAAAATTTGAGAGATCGACTTTCTTTATTTTATTGTATACTAAATTGATCATTTCTTTAGATTTCTATTATCAAGCATACTTCTTAGTTTCAAATAGTAATTGCTGTAGTGAAAATTATTTTGGAAGACATGTTTGAAATCTGATGGTATTCAAGGTTAATGATGTTCAATTTTAGAAATGTAAATTGTGTAAAAATTTGAGAGGACTTTCTTTACTTTATTGTATACTAAATTGATCATTTCTTTAGATTTCTATTATCAAGCATACTTCTTAGTTTCAAATAGTAATCGCTGTAGTGAAAATTATTTAGGAAGACATGTTTGAAGTCTGATGGTATTCAAGGTTAATGATGTTCAATTTTAGAAATGTAAAGTGTAAAAATTTGAGAGGTCGACTTCCTTTATTTTATTGTATAAAAATGTTACGATCAGATGGAAATGAGTGTTACGAATTCGGTGATTATTAAAAAAATATTGACGATCATGTTCGTTTATGGAACTCCTTGAATTCTGCAGTTAAAATCTAGTTACTGTAAAGACTTGTTGAGGAAAATCCCAATTATTCGAGCTCTTCCACTTATAAATTAACCAACGATAGTTAGAGTATAGTAACTATGTGTCGTGCTAACAACGTAGTCCAGTTTCTGTAACCACTAGGACTAATCCCTTTTAGTCTGACCCTTTACGATTCCATTTTAGCCCTCGCCATCCCCGATCCCTCCAAGCTCCACTTTACAAGGCGTACGCGCCTTCAACGAGACAGTCTCAAATGATTTTCTATTTTATTTCAGAAATAAAAGCAAGGAAAAAGCATGCAGGTAAGATTCTAATAATACGCATGGAACGATCGCTAATTAAATGGAGCTACATAGATTATTAGTGCATGCGTCGAGGCCGTTCTGTGTACACGAAGTAGCGTACCACAGCATTTAGTAGAATGGTTTTAAGCTGTTGCTGGAATATTTTCGTGAAACTACATTTATTTTAGCGCACGATTAGTTTGTTGATACTTCTTCTTGGTAGAATTGGTGTTGATAAAGAGGAAAATGCGAAAACTTGGGAGAGAAACAATTAGGATCGACTTGGGTAACGTAGCGTCTTAAAAGTTTCACGTTTGCTGGAAGGATCTTTGTTTAATTTGCGATAGAGAATCCGGAGGAAAATTACTGAGACAATCAAGTAGTTTTCTTAATTGTTTTTGATACGTTCTATCGAAATTTTTTGGTGATATTCTCTATGCTGCATTAAAACTGATCCTTACTTTATTCACGTTTACGGAAACAGCACATTTCCTGCACACGGACCTGTATATCTTCTCGATTCTTCTTCTAGTACATTCACATAGATTTCCTTTAGTAAATCTTGCTGCAATTTACCCCAACGCATTGCCAATTATTTCTACAAATTTAGTTCAAAATATATTATCAAATCGTAAGGTTAATTAACTACTATGTAGTCTTTTATTGAAGCAATGATTTTTATTTTAAAAACCTGACATAAAAGCCAACATAAAAGACATCCAGACAATGGAGTTGCAGCTCGTTTATGATATAACAATAACACGAATAAAACATACAAACAAGTAATACATGGTACAACAGTTAAAGCTACAAAATATAAAAGTATAATATAAAGTATAGAAAGTATAAATTATTATCGTTAAAATTGGCAACGCGTTTTCCTTCCTCTTTCAAAGATGCCAAAGTCCCTTAGTCTCCAATCTTCTAGATGCATGCAAAACTGCACAAGACGAACGAAAAGACGACGGATATCGTTGTCCTATACTCGCGTAAAAGGTTCGAAAGAATAAGAAAGCTAAGCCTCGATCGAGAGGAAACGTAGTAGCGGCACGATGATCGATGAGACGCGGTAACACGATGATTGCTTGAACACGCAGAGAAAGATCTTGGTTTCCTGCGAATTGGCTCGTTGAACGTACGCGTGAAACGTACGACGGAAGCGTTCAGCCAGTTCCTGGGTGTGGCAACTAGCAGCGCCAGCAGCAACCACGAGAAGATACACAAGACATGGGGATCGGCGGATAATGTACAGGTACCAAAGATTCAACAGAATTAGATGAAACTAAATGTAAGGGTACGATAGTTAAGTCTATCAAGGTTACAATATTGCAATTTTCTAAAGTTACTATATCACAATCATTTAGAGTTACAACATCACAATCTTCAAAAGTTACAATATCACAATCACTTAAAGTTACAATTTCATTAATCTTCCAAGGTTACAATATCACATTCCCATAAGGTTATGATACCATAATTCCTCAAGGTTATAGTATCACTATCTTCCAAGGTTACAATATCTCAATCTCTCCAGGGTCCATTCTCCCGAAGTCCCAAAATCGCACAAGATCCGAACATCAAAAGGGCATTGTCTCACGAAGTTCCAATCTCTCAAGATTTGAATCTCCCAAAGTCTCAGACCCCTCGAAGTTCCAAATATCCGAAGTTCCAATCTCCCGAAATTCCAATCTTGAGGAAGTTTGAATCTCCCAAGATTCCAATCTCTGGAAGTGCCATTCTCCAAAGTCTTACCCTCCCGAGGTTACGATCTGCCAAGGGCATAATGTTCTGAAGTTCCATTCTTCCAAAATTCCAGGGTCCCGAAGTTGCGATTCTCGAAGTACCAATCTCGCGAAATTCCAACCTTCCAAAGTACTGGTTCCTCAGAATCCACATAAACTAAGGTTTCAGTTTGGTGAAATTCCTATCTCCCAAGTTTCAATCTCTCAGAGTTCCAATCTTCCGAAGTTTCAATCTCTCAAAGTTGCAATTTTCCAAAGTTTCACTGTTCCAAAATCCTAATCTCTCAAAGTTTCAATCTCTCAGAGTTCTCCAATCTTCCGAGGTTTCGATCTCTCAAAGTTTCAATCTCTCAGAGTTCCAATCTTCTGAGGTTTCGATCTCTCAAAGTTGCAATTTCCCAAAGTTCCATTGTTCCAAAATCCTAATCTCTCAAAGTTTCAATCTCTCAGAGTTCTCCAATCTTCCGAGGTTTCGATCTCTCAAAGTTTCAATCTCTCAGAGTTCTCCAATCTTCCGAGGTTTCGATCTCTCAAAGTTTCAATCTCTCAGAGTTCTCCAATCTTCCGAGGTTTCGATCTCTCAAAGTTTCAATCTCTCAGAGTTCTCCAATCTTCCGAGGTTTCGATCTCTCAAAGTTTCAATCTCTCAGAGTTCTCCAATCTTCCGAGGTTTCGATCTCTCAAAGTTTCAATCTCTCAGAGTTCCAATCTTCTGAGGTTTCAATCTCTCAAAGTTCCAATCTGTCGAAGTTCTAATCTTCCAAAGTTTCACTCTCCCAAAATCTCTCAAAGTTCCAACTCTCCAAAAATCCCACTTTCCCAATATCCCACCTCCCAAAGTCCCAAAGTTCCAAAGTTTCACTCTAAAAGAAAATAATCCCTCTCACACTCGTCTTATTTCTGCAAAGCTGGAGCAAAAGATGATGCCTCCACCAAAGTACGCGCCCATAAAGAAGCGGAGGAGCCGCCGCGCGCAAGACTTCAGCTCTTCCCGAGATCATCAGCCCGCCAGTCAGCCCAGCACGCCGTTGCTCCAAGGAAAAGTATCTCGGTCCAGTCATTCTATTCATCGTCGACCAACGTCCACGACGGCTGTGAATTCCAACGCGACGCCGAGGATTCAGCAGAACAACGACTCGGACTCTGACACCGCGTGCGGTTTCGATTCCGCTTGGAGAGGATCCGCGCAGCTGTAGCTCGATCTACATCTTCGTGAAACGTGGAGGCTTTATCGAATCACGGTGTACCTTGTCTATTTTTGAGAGCATATTCTATTTCGCAATTAGCTTAAGTTGATATACCAAAATGATGAAGGAAAGAATTAGATTAACTTAGAATTTGTAATGTAAACGAGTAAACGTAAATGAATTTGTAATGTAATTAATTGAAGGGAGTTAAGAGCTTTGACAGTCGTCGACTTTTTAACAGGGGTTCGCACAATGGTTTTCTAACGATATTTTTCTACGTTGTAAGGACAGTACTCTTTGCCGTTATTTGTTAATGTACAATAGTTTTGTGTAAGTGCCTTATTTAATGATTAGAGTCGCTTAGGTTTATCGATGAGTTCTTACGAGAGACCAAATATATTCTTGCGAAACGAGAGATTTTTATATACAGGGTGGTATCACGCACGATTTTATGGTACGGTATTTCTCTTGAGAAACGATTAATGTACCTAAGTGAGCGGGGAGTTAACTTGCAATATTGTCTGTGTTATTTAACAAACCTATTAATAATGTCGTAGATTTTTTAAATCTGTATAAATGATTTTATTGAAAAATAATAAATAGTAAATTGTATTTGTGTGCATATGATTTTAGTTCCTGCAAAGAATGCCATCTCTTCCTGTATGATTAAACTCGGTTCCAGAAGAGATCTGTCGATAGAATAGACGTTCTGCTACGTCGATAATATATCGACCGTAGTCTGGTAATACACCGGCAATATATACAGAGTACACATATAAAAAGTTACTGTACAAGTTTAGTTTTTGATTGTCGTGTTCGCGTATAAATTGGAAATTGGATCAGCACCATCTAGTAGTTTGTATTGCGAACTAAAAATAATGTAACAGGGTAACATGAAGAGTAAAGAGGTATACCAGGACTGTATCTCAAATTTTTTGGGCCCTTATAAACAAATAAAAATTTGAACATTACTTAAATAATAGACATGTGTTTAAAAAGAATACAATTCTAAAATTATATTAATTTATATTATTACAATTTGAAAGTATAAAATATTGCAAATAATGCTCCATTTTTCAGTGGCCCTGTGTGTCTCTTTTGCCTTGTGATTAGTTCAGTCCTGGATATTCATATGTCTCTAATATGTATGGTAAAGTCTGAGAACATGTTTCAATTGTTTGTATTTTGTCTACTTTGAATTGGCTTTTTCATAAAATGTGAAATGTTACGTAGAAGTTTAAATAACTTCTAATTATTTCATAATTGTTGACTTTACCTAACCTAAATATTGAGTCAGAGGAATAGTAATATTTTTGAAACATGTATGATATATGTAATCCTAGTGTAAGTACACAAATATTTATAATTTTATAAATAAAACATTCTAATTCATTTCTAACATTCTAATTTATTGTTAGTATGATTGCATTGAAAAGTTGGGCTGTACAGATCCTGTGAAAATATATACAACATTTTATGTTTATATAGAATTATGTGAAGGTAACTATATAATGATAAATTAATGTAATTTATTCTATTGTTTGATGATTATTGTTTTTAGCCAAACGATTTTGGGATGTTAATTATAAATTCAATGAAGGCTTGGATCTGTTATATTTTGAGGTAAAAAGAAGTAAGAACTCTGAAAAAGAAATATACGTACCTTGGCCAGCTTCATATAATATTTCCTTGGATAAAATTGAAAAAATACAAGAAAGTTTAAAGACTGACCAGTAAGAAGTTTACAAAAGTTAAACATATCTAATTTGTGATTTTTTAACTTAATACATGCATTTTTTCATAGGGTAACATTTGTTTTCAAGTCTTCAGACAGCACTAGTATTATTTACAAAGCAAGCAGGGGTCTTGTGAAACCAATGGCTCCAGAAATGTCTAAATTGTTGAAAGAAAAAGAAGAAAAGAAATCAAACTTAGAAAGGGACATTAGAAAAAATACTTCTTATTTATATGAATTAGCAAAATCTTTAAATACAGAGAACAAGGACTCTGATCCTAGTACAAGCAATAACACAGCAAATAAATAAATTCTTCCAATTTTCCTTAATAAAATTAAAAGGAATTAAATACATAATTATGATGTATTTCTTTAAAATATTTATTAGCGAAGTTATTATTTATATATTTGAAATATTCCAATTTTCATGCCATCAAAACTCATGTAAACTAAAATGATATGTATTAAGCTGCTACTGTAAATGAGAATAATGAATAAATTATTTTATAATTATCATCTATATTAACTATGCATTACCAAGTGATTTAGTTAACACTGCAAATGTGAAGCACATGCTGTTTCATTAATATCAATTGACATTAATGTGGCCATTATTGTCAGTTGGAAAATAAACGTAACGAAAATTTAAAATTAAAATTAGAACTCAATAGTGCCATGTTATTTTGTACGTACAAAAACAAGTAACAAAGGACTATCCAGACAAGGTTTCTGCTTAGAACGTTTAAAATAGGTCTATCTACAAAAGAATGAAGACACTTGTATTATATACATCTTTCAATCACTATTCTTTGAACGATATTTCGTCCTTGAAATCACTGCATACATTAAGGATTTCACGCTTGTAAAAACTATGTATGTTTCGGTTCTTAGTACAATATTCTTAGATCATGTTCTTATTGTATATGTCTAATTTTTATGTATATGTATACATAAGTCTTAAGTATATAGCACATATAATTAATACATCGACAAGAAAATATTCTGATACAGATGATCTTTTGAAAACTACGTGTTTGGCAGTTTGATTTATTAAGAATCATGCAATATTTCACCTTAAAATACAAAAATAAACACTTTCTTATTATATACTATATTTGTTAAGAATTTTTTAAATAAAAAAATTACCAGAGAGATTAAAACGATAAAATTCCAATAAATTTTTGGTATTCCCATATTTTCTTGTCCATTATACAATTAAAAGATATATAGTTTTTAACCACTGTGTATGTTTTAACTAAAATCGTATTATAGTTACTCAACTAGGCTTTAAAACTTACATATGAGAATTTTATAAAAACAGGCACATTAGGAATAATGTGATGTACGAGCACCTCTGTATAAATAGGTTTCCATTTTGATGTACAAGGTCTTGGTAAAAATAGTTATTAAATGGTTATTAATTTATTAGTGCATTAAGGCAACTACAATTCGAGGTGTACTCGAAACTATCACATGTGATGCAATCAGCTTTCCGTTTTACAATTTCAAATACTGTTTTTAAGAAAATGAGTAATGATTTTAAGCTTATACAACTAACAATAAGTTTATAATATAAGAAAATCTCAAATGAAACCTTTTCGTGTTATTATCACAGTACCTAATTTCTAAATAATATTCAATTAGATATGATTTTTTTTTATTTTTTGCACTATAATTTTTTATAGAATATAAATAAAAATAGTTCGCATACCTCAACAGGTTCCATTTAAAAAATTCTTTCATATAAAACACATCATAAATTTGTAAATTCAATTTCAAAATATACTATGTAGAAAATTTAATGAGTCAATTTGGTAGATTGATGATTAATGAAGGAATCACTGTTGTAGTCATCTTGCAAAAGATTATCATTTTTAATATTAATTAATACATTATATGTTATTGATATTTTTCAGAATTAGTTACGTGGAAATATAAATTTAGTATTTTAAACAACATTATAGAATATAGAAAACAAGAATTTAAAAAAATGTTAAAACAATATTAGCGCAAAACTCTTTCAATAACTACAGCATGATGCACATATCCGAGATGATGGTATAAAATAATGTACACATAATCAGAGTACAAAAACAAATGAAAGAAACCGTAGAGTGATGTTTACAATAAATGGTGGATATGAGTACTACTAATGTGCTACTGTGAATTTGTATTGCCCTTGTGTTACAGTAATGTAATATATCAAGCTGAAACATTGTACTTATCAAAAATCTTATACATTTTTTACTTTTCAGTATTTGGTTACATATTTACAAAGTATATCTAGAACACAAATATTCTACCACATACTAGAGATATGAAAATATGTAACTAATTAATGTAGTAAAAAGGGTAAGAAGATTGTGTAGGAATCAAACCGGTAAAAATTTGTTCGTTTAAACGGATGAATCGATATATGATTGTTACAAGTCATTGTTAATAAGTGATCTCGATTTCTGATTGTGTTAATAATTAGGTACGCGTGATTAACGTAATTAAAGCGCCCGGTGTTAACTATGTTTATGTTGCTTAACACTATCATATATAGTGCCATCTCTTCATTTAATTCCCTATCACATGAGCATGAGCAAATACAACTACCTTTTGATTTATTTTCTGCATTTTATAAATCATAATACGTTTATACAATGAATGGTTCTTTATGTTAAGGATACAATTGTTGAGTGGCTGGAAAATGTTTACTATACATAAGGGAGTAAATGTGCATATGTGAGAATTGTAAAATAATACTTTAAACAGATATCATTTTAGACATTTGGTCAATATTTAGAACATCATGATTATGAAATCTGATAAGTATTTAATTAAACGATATAAATGTTGATTGCATATGTAGAACTGTATCAAAGTACGAACACGTTACAAAAGTACATGTACATTTTATCTTTCTTTTCCGGCATTCTAATCGATTAAATCTCAACATTATATCAAGATATTTCAAATAAATACAAGTATTTATTACACTGCATATTGGAAACAATTGCATTAAACGTAAACCTGAATTGTATAACTACGAGTTAAAAGTCTGAAATTCATACACATTAATTAAAAACCTGAGATTCGACGATTAAACATATGATTTTCAATCTTTCATGCCTGATACATTTACCACTAAAAATAAAACATCTGTACAATACATAACACTATCAAATGTGGAACATATTATTTTGAAGATTAAACAAATACATCTATAACTATCGATGTTATTAATTGCGATTTGATTGCCCCTAAAATGATGTCTGAAAAAGTAATAGAACGCTAAATGATTTGCGTATCAAATTTAACAAAAAAGAAGACGATTAATAACGTCATTATGGCTAGCACCAGTCAGCCATATACGTAAAATCTTTAAATAGCATTTGTTCTAAATCACTAAGCGGCCTAGGATCTTTAGGTGGAGTTAACTGAGGTTTTTCTGATGTAAATTCTTCATCAAAATTACTAACATCTTCCACCGAATGCTGAAATATGAACACAAGCGTAATATACCAATAAACTCACGAACAAATAAATAAATGGCTAACACTTACAATTACTGGAACGAACGGTGGTTTTACGCGTCTCAAAAGCAAATCGTCCCAAGCTATGTGCCTAAAGAATGCTTGTTTTTTAACGTCCTCGGCATCTCTTTCGCTACTACCCAGCCTTCTATCAGGATTTTTTCTCAGTAACTGCAAATGCATTTAATTATACGACATTCATCCTGCTGTTAGTAAAATACACAAAATATACTAACCCTTCTCATTATTGCTATCGCTTCTAAAGAAAGGAATCTTGGATATCGAACTTCATCATTCACGATAGAATCAAACACCTCTTCTTCATCGTCACCAGGGAAGGGTGACTAAGCAGAACAGATATTTATTAGTTCGAACAATTATAGCAAATAAGTATTAAGGTACACAAAACTTACCTCACCAACAAGCATCTCAAATATTAACACACCCAGACCCCACCAATCAACAGCTCTTGTGTACGAGGTGTCAGTAAGAACCTCAGGTGCTAAGAATTCTGGTGTTCCACAGAAGGTTCCTGTTCTATCTCCATATCCCATTCCTTCTTTGCACAAACCGAAATCAGCGATTTTTACATATCCTTCCGTATCCAGCAGTAAATTATCTAATTTCAAATCTCTGAAATTGTAATAGGGTTATTGTCATTTTATTCTTATGCGATCATTTACATGTACATGAAATTTTATGTATCATTTACCTGTAAATAATTCGACTTTCATGCAGATACTGTAAACCTAACACTACACAGGCTGAATAAAATACAGCTCTCGGTTCACCGAACACATCCGCGTGTATATGCATCATAAGATCTCCTCCAGCTGCATATTCCATCACAAAACAAACATGTGCCTATGGAGAAATTTTGATCTTTAATATCTCAAATAATAAATGTACTCTAAACGTAACTGAAATAGAATTTGTACCTCAGTTTGAAAGCAAGCAAACAGGTTTACGAGGAAGGGATGACGCGTGGCATTGGCCACTTCAAATATTCTTTTCTCTGAAAGCAATGACTCTACTTCGTCCCTAGCTATTATATCACCCTTTTTCAGAGCTTTGATCGCAAAGTATTCCCCTGTATTTCTGTATTGCGATAATATCACTTTGCCAAAATGACCACGTCCGAGAACTGAAAGTAACCTGAAGTTCTCTATGGTCATTCCAGTAAGTTGCGAATGTCTTCTGGATTCGTAGGCACTGTCTCTGTACTGAGACGGCTTGCTTGGCATTTCATACACCACCTATAAATCGTTAAGATATTTTTATTTCACCCCAACACCTTTACCAATCAGATATTAATTACTATCCACATGAATTATTCATAGATTAATCGAAAATATTAAACGTTGTTATCCTTAGTTTGTCGCAGATGAATTGTTAATCGTAACTTTATAGGTCATAAAATATAAAGTACTGATGTTCTAATAAACACTTATGTTTTATTAGTGTTCTTAATGATGAAAGACTTATTAAACCGTACTCAAAGAATTATTCCTAATAATTGTTAAATACCTATAGACTGTTTAAGTATTTACAAGCAGGATGAGTATGAAATTACAAATACGTATATGGTAGTAAAAGCTTCGATACACAGTAGACACGCAAGTACATGCAAAAACTTAATCACGTGCATTAAAATTATAATAAAATGAAACAAAAAAATTAAATAAAAATAAAAGATACTTAACGTAAATTAATACAGGATTAAAATACAGAAAGAAATAAAGCTGCGTGTATAGGAGGTATGTACCTCGTCTTCAGGAAACTCGACGACGGGTTGGGGCGAGGGTGTGCGTGGAGAGGGTGGTGCAATCAGCACGGGACGAGGCTCTGTTACAAGAGGCCTCAAATTTGCGCCCTGAGACCCCCCCTTTTCCTCGTTGTGCAGAAAATCAAACTCCCTTAATGCACTCTGTAACTACATTACTATCTGCTTAGCTCTAAAAGCTACTTTACGTTGCAATATATTTTAAACTGATGAGACCAAACATTAAATAAATTAATCGCGTTATGGGAGTTTGCTAAAGAAACTATAACCTGCCTAAAAGGAACACTGCACATCACAACATTGTAGTGTATCCTTTTTACGTCGACGCTAAACATCGTAGAAATAGCTATGCGTAAAAAGCTAAGAACGAAAAACAATTATACAAATTGAACGAAAAAGAATAATTAAGCATTTAAAATAAATTGCATTCTTAAACTGGTACTTATAAAAACATTATTCTTCTAAGTATCTTCAAAGCGATAAGAGCACATTATAATTACTGGTATTTTGCGCAATTATATATGATATGTACTAACATGCCTTAACAAAATATATATTACTATATACAAACGTTAGAAAGTATATAGAATCAACTGGGTATACATTATACGTTCTACATGGTTTTTGCCCATAACCAGTGTACCAAACCCTAAACCTCTCAAATAACAGAAAATACTAAGAAATATCAAAATACTTTATAAAAAGGGGATAATCGCTAAACGACTAAAAAAGGTACAGACTTTCGTTTAAAAGTTTATCTATGTTTAAATCTTTAATAAAAAATGATACAATGGAGAATATGAACTTTAGGTCACTTACCTCTTGATCTAATTTTGGTGGCGGTGGAGGTGCTGGCATCGAGGGTTTCTTTGTAATTGTGGGTGGTGGAGGTGGAGGATGCTCTGGAGGACGTGGCAGTGTGGGACTACTACTTGAGGTTGACAATCCCAAAGGTCTAGCTCCTCCCAACCCTCCCTTCTCTGGATCAGGAAGTTCTCCAGGTGTTTCGGGTTTGTCTTCCAGGGAGGTATCGAAAACAAGCTGCAGAGGTTGTGATCCTGTGCGAAAATAAATGTTATCGATCTCCTAATTTATGAACGACGCAACGGAGAATACGCAGAACTACCTGATGGCGGACTTTCAGAGTTTCTCGTATTGTGCAACGAGGGTGCCGATCGTTTCAAAAGTCTACCCCAAGTGGCAACATTAATATTCATTTGATTAGCTCTCGGGAAATTTTTCACTTGCTGCTTAAAGATTTTGCGTTGTCGTTGCAACTTAGGCTTCCTCGAAATCATAGGATTCAAGAACTTAATTTCGGCAAAGAGAAGACCCTGTGGCTCCAACTGCAGAGCCATCCCGTGTCTCACATCATCGATGAATTCTTCTAAACGTAAAAACTTTATAGCACAAAGAGATCTCCAATCTTTCCAATAAATGCCTATCTCGAGTTCTCTCGACTTGTCTAGTTCGATGGAAAACCTATGAAAACATTCTACCTGTATAGACTGACACAACTTGAGGTATTATTTGTTTCATTGCGAAATTACGTGTGGTCATGAACCTCTTACATAAATATATATGTAATAAAAAATATACCTTTGATCCCAAGCCTGCTGGGAACACGGTCGCCAACTAGTTTGTGCTACTGTTTGGTTGTCTAATTTAATAACTGCCATAATATCATCTGCAACACAGTGCAACAGGTATTAGCGCACCATTTGAAAACATTTGATTGATTTAGGAGTAAGAACTTACTACTCGTTTCATCTTTAACGCTGTACGATTTGCTCGAACTACGCCCTGTAACTCCTTTAACGAAACTACGTAAGTCTGGACTTGCCGGATGTTCCCTTCTCGTACGTCCAGGTATTTCTTCCGCTAAATCTTGGCATCCCATTAATCGTACCTAGATATAAGAAAGATACAGCGATGTAGGACTGTAGAGATTTAAGGATCTATAAATGATGAGGAATGTACCTCTAATTGTCCAGTAACAGCTGCACATCTCGAAACAGAAGCGGGCACGGTGGCTCTACCTTCGAGCGGACCGCGAAATGGTTGCAAGGACGTATAAGTAACTGGGACTGGACTAGCCGATTGTACACTAGCTAGTTCCCTCTTCAGCTGAGCTGCCGTGCCACTGTCAGGTGGCAATTCTTGTCGTCTAAGTTCGAGGGATAATCTCAGTAGGTCCAATTTTCTACTTGATTCTGCAAGGCTTGCTTGAGCCTAAAGTGGTTCAAAAAGGAATGTGATAAAAATCGACCTTAAATAAATCCTCACACGGGTAAAAAACCTTGAATGTACATAATGAACTATTACTAATATAATCAATATTTATTAACAACATGAACAGCATGAATAATATGAATCTGCTAGCTTACATAAATGCTCCATACTTAGCAGAATGTTTTAATAGATTTCATAATGAATAAAAAAAAAGTCGTCGAAATGGAATACGATGTTTGAATAACTTAAACACACGCGTTATATATTACATAACACAACCTTATAATATTTGAATAGTCTCATTACGAAACCAAGAAATACTATGATATATATATTTAAAAAAGAAGCTTTAAAAACGTATCTTAAGAATCTCTATTTTTAGGGACCGGACGAACGATTTTCTTCTCGCTTTGCAAACGAAATCCAGTCTGTCGCTCGAATTCGCTTATAGAACTGGAACGTTCCCGGGAATTCAGTTCCTCGAAATATCTTCTGCAATGCTCGCAGGAGCACGAGGGATTTTTCGAAGGGCCAATATGATGGCCCGGTTTGCGAAACGCGTTCACCACAGAGCCAAATATCGACGCCTTTAATATGTGATCAGTTCTTTCTCCCTGTGGTGTCATAAACGGCGAGGTAACGCGCGAAGGTACTTTAGACGGAAGTGGTGAAGTACTGTTGGAACCAAATGGTCCAACATGGTCACGGAAAGCGTACGGATGCGGAATACTGTCGCTACGTGTCGTGGAATCAGATTGTTCCGGTTGTAAACTTCTCCTGGGTTCTTCCTTCGCTACTGTACTCGTTACACTTTTGTCTATACTCTCTGTGCTTTTACTCGGTCGTCGAATGGTTGCAGTTTTCTTGACCATTCGCTGGCTTTCCTCGCTAGACACGAAACTCCAACCGACCGTACCGCTTTCGTCGGAATCTTCTCCGCTCTCTCCAGACGACCATTCCGTTTCTTGTTCTCCCAATTTCCGATTCCGCAACAAGTGTTTCGGCTCGGTTTGTCCTTCGCGTTTCGACCAAATCTCCTCCATCCTTCGTATCCTCTCGCGGTCGGTGGAGCTGGCGTACTCGAAGCTGTCGCATGGCGTTAAAGCTATCTTGCTATTTAACAGAGACTCTAAGTCGGAAAAGGTATCTTTCGGCGAAGTAGCGATAGTCGAGTCGTAGTCGAATGGAATACCCGTGTTGGAGGACGCCGCGGACCAAGGAGCCGAGTCCAGATCTCGAAGAGCGCTGTAAGAACTGAACTGCGAAGGGTACAGCGAGCTAAGAACATCGTCGCTGTCGTATCCCTTAGAACTAGCTATGGAAGGCATTCTCATAGGAGCATGTTTAAAACTGTCGCACCGTCTTTCAGTGGCGCGTTTCAAGAAGGCTTTGTCATCCTGGAATCCTCTGGGTAGCACGTCGTCCGGAACCTGAGTATGAGTGACTTTCACGTCCGGATTTTCGAAAACGGTCATCGGTGTTTCGCGATCGTTTTCACTGGATGTGTCGGAATTCTCGTCGTCGTCCGATCCGGTGCAATAGACGTCGATGTGCACGGTTCGCGATTTACGCTTGGAACTATCATCTTTCGCGGAAGAATCAGACTTCTCCGACTCCGCTGAAGGTACGACGCTGGTGGTCTCGGAAGCTGTGGTTGGCGATCGGCTCGGTTGCTGAAAGGGAAACGTGTCAACGATTCAATACCCCTTTCATTCAGCCTATTAAATGCAGCATTCAACACGTTGACAACTCACCTGTTTCGTTTTCTGCTCGTCCGAGCTTAGGAGACCAGTGGTCGTTTTCCTCCTCGTCGTGCTCTTGCTAACGATCGTCGACGTAGACTCATGAGACTCGATGTCAGTCGTCTGCGAGGCAGCGTCTTTGCTTATGGTGGTTGTTTCGCTGGTAAGTTTATCCTTCACCCGGCTGCAAAAGTGAGAACCATACGCGCTGGACGTACTGCTTCCTTCTGGACACTCCTCGCAAACTTCCGGTACGGTGCTAAATTGGTGACGCGTGAACACGTGTTGATGCGACGAATGGTGTCGCCAAGAATTGTCGTACGAGTGTCTGATGGATTCGCCGCTGGCTATCTTGCTGGTGCTCTCTTTGGTGAAGTCTTCCGTGTTGACGGCGGATAAAACGATGCTACAGGTGCTCCTACATCGTCGATTGTACTGTTGAGAGGGTCGACGGGAAGGCAAACTCGAGTAAGACTGCGACGAAAACTGTTCGCTGTTGTAGCCCGAGTCGGACACGTTCACTCCTCGTCCCCTGGAGGACGAGGACTCGTTCTCCGATAAACCCGATCTCGGGATCGTGAAAGATCTGGGTGTCGGTCTTGGTGGTGGGGTCGAGGTGAACAGTATGTTTCCGCGTTGAAAGCCGAACGAACTGGAGGACGAAGCAGACGGCGACGAAGTGGACAGAACCGAAGTGGTGGCTGGAACCGTGGACGGAGACGACTGGTTGGTGTTCCATCGGTATATCATGCGGACGCCATTGGAATCCGTGACGGTCGAGGACATACTCACTGGTACCTGTCCGGATTCCGAAGTGACCGGCGTACCATGATGAATCGTCACTTCCGCACGCACCAGCCATGGCGGTGGTTGCGAGTTACTCGAGTTGCCTTGCCGGCCATACATATCGTACCTTTTTCCTCAGCCTTCTCCACGCTGTGATCCACCGCAAAACATCGTCGCTCCGCTCGTTCAATCGGTACCGCAATAAAAAAGCATTCGGCCAATTGTTCCTTCCCTCCTTGACGAAGAGAATCCGACGTTCTTTGGCGGCTATCGTTCCCCAGCACATCGATTCAACGCGTCGATCTCTTCGCGAGAGATGGAAGCACCTTACCGGACCTTACTTCCTTTCCAATTTAATCCGTTTACTTTTTCTGGACTCGAACGACCTCGTTACGTAATTGTTCCAAAAAAGTGATTAAACGCAGCTTAAAAGCAAGCGGTATATTTTCAGAACGTATTTCACAAATCCATGCATATATATCGCACGGTTGTTCGCAGAAAGACGGCGATTCTGCGATACTGCGTCTCTCTTCTGGTCTATTTTCAGAACAACCGTGTTACTGTATTCGAACGGTTTCGGAATCTCTTGTATCGTTTCGACGTTACGTCTGAAAAAATTTGGACGACAATCTGTCGCTAGAGAACTTTATAATATCGCGATCGGTAGAGTTCATTCGGACAAGATCGCTTTAATATCAATGTCCCATACGATCACAGCAATTATTGGTCTCTTTAGAACTTTACGTTATACCACAACACACGAACAAACTTTAAACATCGTTTCTCCTAAGGTGACAAACCATACGCTAGAGCAGCAAGGTATAATTAGCACGGATATAAATTTGGAGCAACAGTCGCGGACCAAATATACCTGGAACCAGATGATACTTTCGGTACGATCGGTTCAGCTGACGAGTACGTCACATCGCTCGAAAGAATTTCTCTCGAAAAAGAACTAATAATACTATCCAGTCTAAGTAAATGCACGTTCTCCTTTGTCTTAATCTTGTTCGACGACGAATCGAACGATTCTAAACGAGCTCTAACGTGCAAGTATCTTCTATTTCTGTCAGTCTGCTTCCGTGTCTTGGAATTCGACGTGGGTGTCCTCTACTGTTGAGCCTCTTAAAATTCGCAGGTAATCATCCTCTTCTCGTTTTTCATGGAACAGAAGTCGTCAGTCTTCTCGGTAGCGATTCGGAGCAATGTTGTGGCGAGTCCAAGTGGGTTTCGCGACTCTGGGCGGATTCGAGAGTCAGTCTTGAAGATTCAGGTCATAGTTCTCCGGTTGCCGGGTGGCATGCATGAAAATTACCCGCGGGTACGAGCGATATCTCCAGGAATGTCCTCGGGACGGACACACGCGTATCTCGAGTCTTTGGACCGCGGTTGATTGGCGCACATGTCGTTGGTTTATCGCGTTGCTTACGACTGGGTTGTGCCAGCTCCCCTCGAGAGGTGGTAACTAAGCGCGACCCGAAAAGGCGTCATAGAAAGACGACGGGGTAGCGGGGATTAGGCAGTGCTATTTCGAGAGCAGTGCGTTATACGCCACCGCCGCTCGGTCTCGACGTAGTCGTCTACGTCGTAAGCGATTCTCTCGCGTTTTACAGGGAATATCGTCCAATTCGTTGATCGAATGTCTCGTCCCGCTTACGTCAGAACGACGACAGCACTCTTCGAGACCAAAACGAGCCTCGTGTCACGACGGTTCGAGATTGAATTAGATTTTATTTAGACGGCAAAAGGAAATGAACTTCTTCGAGCGGAGAAAGACACGCTCGAACGTTTGCACAATGATAAAGAAGCATTCAAAGGGACATACGTGTCCATCGGTATAGTTACATGAATGGCGTATCTTCGAGCAACGCACAAAAGCTCTTCATTATCGAAGCGTCGATTTCTACGTGGTTGGTTATTGAACAGGAAATGATACGTACCTCCGTTAGGGCCTTCTTATCGGCGACTTTGGCACTTTGTAGAAGACGTATCACGTTTTTAGCTCCTTCCACCACCGCAGCTTCGATTCGTAAACGATGTCGGAGCTCCTCCACCCTTTCCTCCAATGCAAGCTCCAAGCTAGGCTCGTACCTGTCTGTAATCATAGTTGAAAGTGTTATCGATCGTGTCCGAGGTGTATTATTTAATAGAGCGACAGAATCCTTACGCGATTCGAGCGGTGTTTCATCGTGCTCGACCGGACGTGACTCGTTCGAGGGAAAGAGGAATCGAAAGCACATGAACGTATGGACCGAGACCAAAACGCGACTGTGATCGTTTATATGTAACAAAAGCGAGATTGTTTTTACGTCACACGAGACTGCCAGCGTCCTCCGAATAACGTTCATATACATATACTGTGTGTTCGATTCATTGCACCGACGAATCAAACGAACCAAGGAACGATAATAGGGGATATTTTTTAATCGAAGGAACAGTGGTCGGACGAAAGCAAAGTGTACACCTATTCGAGACATACGCCTGTGCGATTGGACAAAATGGTAAACGATAAACGTCACGTGGCCTTTACTTACAACAGTACTTTAGGGTAACGATGCTCGTGCGCGATATTTCGCGAGGTACAGCACCGTAAAAGGGCAACGTAACATTATTAACATGTACAGTTATAAAATTCGTTACAATACTCGATAGCGAATAAAAACTCTCTACAGCCGTGAAAACAATAATCTCCTACGGACGTCTCTCGTAACTTTGACCATATTACAATCGTGTTTCATTGACAGCTATTGTGTGTACTATATTTTAACAGTTTTATCATTATCCAACCACGTAACGCGCTGTACCGTGTCTCGGTATGAATCACGGTAATATATCCGGCATAAATACACAATATACGATCAACGCGGATAACTGTGTCCTTCAGCCAGCTAATTTCTTGCTCGTCCGATTTCGGATTCGTGCAGCACGTTTAGAGCATAATTCACATTGGTAGAGTAAATAGTTTAGCGTACTGGCGTGAAGATTTGCCTACGGCTTATAGTACATTCAATAGAATACATTGTAGTTAGTGTATCGAAGTGATCGGAGGAGTTGCTCTATCACATTGAAAATCCTCTGATAGTTTAGATACTGTACAAGTATTTACTTAATCGAGTGTAAGTGGATTTTTAAAGGGGTTTATCTTATCAGAGTAAATGTACTTCGCTACATAACCTACGGATATAATTCACGTTTGAGGAAACTCTGCTTAACACAAATACAACCCTTTTAGGCAAATCTAGAGACAGTCTAGATTCTCGAATCTAGGTACCAGGGTGAGTACAGAGTCTATAAGGAAGCTAAATCCTTGAGAAACCCAGTCTTAAGAAAGCTAAGATCTCAGGAAAGATCCTATGAGAAGTCTACATTCTTCAGAGAGCCTAAATCCTTGCAATCCATTTACTCTACCAATGTGAACCAAGCTTCCACCATTCTTCTACCTTTATTGCTAGTTGCCTCGCCATTCGGCGGTGGTGCATCGCCTCTTGCATGTTGCTGTTGACGAGCTTGTCGCACCTTCATTATTCTCATCCTTAGGAACTCGATTTTAGCACGGGAATCATCCAACATTTGTTGAGCCTCCTGCAGCAACTTCTTATCCCTGCCACTCGTTAAACTCTGTATCATATTTTCCGCCCCCTGCTTCACCTGTAACGTTAATAAGAAAATCGATTTACTATAATCGTATAAACTGTGTAGTACACTCGCGCATTTTATCATCATGATAGCACTATTAACGGTGATTCACCTTTTTGAAACAAAATTTCGGCATTTTGGATGTTCTCTTGGCAAGGTCTGATAAGCGACTACGCGTTTCCTAAACATTGTAAGTATTCACCAGCTCGATGGCTAAACCTATTATACTCTGAAACGGATCGCGTAATATGACGTAGGAATACGATTTCGCTACCACATAGATTGTGGATATTGAAAATTTCGTTGACATTTGTAGGTTGGCGAATTGCCAGGATCGATAACTCGCGTATTTCTTTCTATTTCTTTACAAACTTCTTTCAACGTTGACGCTACAATATTGCTGTTAATGAACGGTATTTCAATCTGCGTACACCAAGAGTCACTTAGTTTGCCGGTGCATGTTACGTGATCGTAAATAACAAAGTTACGAGAGTATGTAACAAAGTTAGCGAAGTTCAAAGCTTGCTACTTTGTTTACTGATTAAATCACCGTATGACGAAGTGGAAAACTATCTTTAGCCGAGAAAAAGTGCCGAGGATTCGTTGATGACTCAGACAATGAGAACCAGAACTGCCTCTGGTAAACAGTCACGAATCACAGACTAATTATTACAGCGTTTGATTACCGAAATGAATTGAGAAACCGAGTGATAATTGGTCTTACAAGTTTTACATTCTTATTGTTACGTTTCGAAAACAAAAATGTTATTATTTCATGAAGAAAGATTCAGTATGTTGAAATTAGAGATCATCTGTTCATTATCATACGTGATTATGATACGTATTATTATACAATGGCAATCAACGTTAATTTCATGCGATCAATGACAATTTAAATAATGTTTCAGTCGATCGGCGTCTTTTCTCTCTTCTCTTTTTTACGAACGAAGTCTACCTTGAGTTCGATATTGAGCTGCTTCTCCAAGGACAAAAGACGAAGATCCGTGAATAGACCCTCCTGACTCGGCGACGACGGCCCCATTGGTGACAGAGGCGTGTCTGAAACGAAAATAGGCGTTGAAAATAAAAAGCTGACCCTTGATCCAATACGAAATTGTCGGAATTGCTCAAAGGATTCAATCGTTATCTTTAAAAAAATCGATTACGTGTAACAAACGATACAAAATTAAGTGTCGAAACGATACCATCAAAGCGTTATTCCAAAGGTAAGAAATAGTTCGTCTCCTTCGTTAAAATTCTGTGCCCAGGAGCGACGTATAAAGTTAAAATTATGTGGGTGATGATTCTCGTAAATATATCGCGTTTCATGCCCGCGAGAGTCACAATAGTGAAATCTTCAAGAACTCGAATCCTACTTCCTGTAACCCACTGGAGATATCTCGAAGGTAGTCCAAAGACTCCCACGTGTTTAATGCACTCCCATGTACAATGCGAGCGTAGAAGCGAGCGAAAAAACCGTGTTGCTCTTCTTTGTTTCACGCGAGTACACCGTTACTCGCGATTTTCCCATCGCTCGTTTTCACTAGACCCGCCGCCGGCCGGTGTAAACGTTTGCACACCGTAAAACGAAAATTTCCACGATCCGTCGGCTCCGAACATAATACTAATAGCTATTCGCAAAGGTTATCTTAACAACGCTCAGTGTAAACTTCTCCGGCTTTATGAAAGTCCACGTGTTAACGCGTGGAATGCTATGGGGCACCTTGGTGATCAACGACTTCGTATAATTAGTAACGAGAAGGAGTGCCAGGTCAGCCGAATCTGGCGGACGTATGAATTTATACATAGATCTATCACTTGAGCGGAAATTATTTCGGATCATAAATAATTTTGTTGCACGAAAGATTTAGCGACGGTCTGATTGGAGTAAAATTAAACATGTTGATAATTAGACTTCCAATATGTCTGACTACACGCGTCCATTTTCACTGCGGCAGTAAACGTTCGAGGCACGCGATTCGCGAGATTTAGGTGAAAAAATGTGGAATCGATATTTCGTTGTTTGACTCGCGTTTTACTCTCGATACACACAGGAAATCTGTACCCACCACGCGCAACGTGTATGGAAGAAAAGAAAAGAAAAAAAGGAGTATCAGGGCGTGCCCGGCGTATTAAAACGGGAGTCGTGTACGTTTCGCAAACACCGGCGATATAATTACGTAAGTGGAATTGATTACTGTAATTGTTCGAAGTTCCGGTCGGCCCGGAAGCGACACTTATAATTCTGACACTCGTTTTTCAGAACGTTTCCGTACTCTATCATGATCTACCTTTCCGATTGAGGTCTTGTGCAATTTATCTTCGATAGATTCTTCTTATATGTTTCCGACCTTGATCGATGCAAATATGTGCCGTAATATTGGCAATAAATTCTGCTTAATTTATTCGTGACCATAAAAATCAAACTGAAATTAACACATCGTGGTAAAAATACACTTGCGAAGACAGGTACAAAGGATGTACGGTTGGTAGATTTCCACATTTAGCTTTTCAATATTTTCCTCCCTGTAGTCCTCCGAAAATAACTCTACCGTTACTATTCTCTATAAATCGCGCTATCACGTGTTGCCGTACGTTATATCGCCACGCATGAGGCTGCAGGCGGAACCTGTTAAGCGCCGGTAAATGGTGCTGAAGAGATTACCACGGACAAAAGGTACGAAAAAGTTGCTGAAAGAAACTTCTTTCGAAGCCAGGGGAGCGTGAAGGTCCCACCAAATGATCTATCATAAATATAAGCGACAGGAGTGCAAGCGGATTTACCCAGCCGCACGGAAAACAACGGTAACGACGCGCAAACGTGCATCGCCGACAAAGAGACACGTAAACGCACACATACGACTGCGTATGCACGGACAACTGCACTTGCGTTGCACCGTCGGTGCACACGGTTAGCCTGACATGTCCGAATAAGGCGAGCCATGAAGCGAGACGGAAAGAGAGGAAAATAAGGAGGATATCGGCCATGGGAATGCATGCAACAGCATCGCCGGAATCGGAAAGGCGAGACCAATTCTATCGTCAGAAACGACAAAACGGAACATGGAAGAGCTACTCGCAAGTTGGAGGACCTGCAGGAGCTTCACATCGGATATAAGTGGATGGAGATGTATCGGTATTATCGATATCTACTGACAAACTGTATCTTCAAGACATGGTTCAATACACCTGTTCTCGAACAAAAGAGCGTTTATCTATTTCTCATACAAAACTTGATGAAATTTCATGAACCTGAATTAGTCTGGCTTTCAGGTACAGATTTGCCAATGCATCAGAGAAAACATTATCCCCTTGTCTTTCTTCCCTTTCTGATTTAATTGATTTTTCTTAAAAACCAAAGTTGACTAAGTTTATTCTGACTCGTATGTACAGATGTGTCCATCTAAGGGTCCTACATGTAGAACTCTGACATACTAATAATATATGAACGTCTGAGGTCCCACAAGGAAAATATCAATTACTCGAACAGCAAGCTTGTTGTCCAAGTCAGTGAGAACATTATCCCCTTGTCTTTCTTCCCTTTCTGATTTAACTGACTTTTCTTAAAAACCAAAGTTGACTAAGTTTATTCTGACTCGTATGTACAGATGTGTCCATCTAAGGGTCCTACATGTAGAACTCTGACATACTAATAATATATGAACGTCTGAGGTCCCACAAGGAAAATATCAATTAATCGAACAGCAAGTTTGTTGTCCAAGAAATAACTTTGTGAAAGAACATAATATATAGAAGCACGGACCTCGATCGCATATCGAAGAGAATGATCAAGTAACAATACGTCGAAGACAAGGAAGAAGAGGTAAATTCGTGAAAACGGTGTAAGAGGTCATGGGACGATCACGGACTCCGCGAAACCATGTCATTAGCGCAGTAACAGAACACGTGCCCCATTATATTCCGTTTTTGCTAGCTAGGGGCAACGACAAAGGCTTTCCTTGTTTCCGTTACAAAACTGCACACGACTCATTCCCTTGGCTTCTTTCTTTTCGATTCCCTCGCGAAACAATGAATGGAATTATTGATGCGTTGGTGCACGCTTTTCGAGACGAAACACACGCGAGATGAACACTCTTCTTTTTTTTGTTCTTCCGAATCGCTGAACCGTTGCTATCTTCGAGTTGACGACCTCGGGGTGCAACCCCTGCGGACAAACACTTTTGAAGCGTGCATAATTTACCGGGATGACAGCGTCGCGTAAAAAACAGAAGAATTCAAAGATTTTTCTTCTCGTTGCATAGGTGCTGCAATCGCTGGAGAAAATGAGGGGTTGCCAACATCCAGTCTGCCATATCCGTAGCGATATAACGAGAGTACGCTTTCAATTTTCAAGTACCTTATCTAATGAGATTTCTATGAGAGATTTAGTCGGGTAATTAAATAAATCAATTAGAGAGGAATCACATGTGCAATAAAATAGAAGAAAAGTCTTCGCATTCGGAATTAAAAATGTTAATGCTCTTAATATAGGCTATAACACGATTTCCTCTGTAGATGCACTCGAGTGATTCTTCGTCCATTCACGATTTCGCTTGCATCGTGTACATACTACGGTTTTCTGTGTGCCCGTGCGATTCACACACACGAGAGATCACAAACCGTAAACGTAGGGCAGCTACACTTCCTACGGCATATATTAAATATATGAAAGAACTAATTATTCTTGTATCGTAAAAAGGGGGATAGAGATGTGTGGTCTCAACATCCTCATTACGAGCATGATTAAGGTAATTAGCGTGACTATAAAGTGAAGCGTGAACTCTGTGTACGTGGCAGGATAGACGGAAATCGGGTAAGAATCTGTTGCGTCAATTCGTCGACTATTGCGATATTTTAATTAGCTTAAATGTTGCTCAACCACCGTGTTCGATAAAATCGATGAATTAGGAGCATTGATAATTCTGAACTGAAATAAAAATATCTAACTCTAAAGTATCGATTTTTATGGGCTATTTGATGCTGATGGAGCACAAAGATGAATCTACAATCTAAAATAACCACGAGTATTTAGGTATCGTTTAAGTTATTAGCATAGGGGCTACCGTTTACGTCGATAGCGCAAAATTACCCGACCGGTTTAACGCATAGATAAAAATGTCGCGTTTAAAAGAAAGGTCCCCGTACACGGCAACAAACCCACTAAGATTCTATACAAGCCGTCAATTAGCCGACATAAATCGCCACGGCGATTTGCGAGCACGAGTGATTTCTTCGCTGGTTTTACGATCGCACAGAAAAGCGTGGCTTCGTATCGTTTAAGCGGACGCAACGGCACGCTTTTATAAATTACTACGTACTGCACGAGAGAACCGTGGAAAGCGTCGTAAAACAGTTTCACCGAAGGCACTTGATAACGTTGATGGAACAACAGGCAGTATCAGTCAAATCTATAGGCCGTTTTCTCTCATTCACGGGACCGTGGGCGTCGAATCGCGGTCTGTAATCGCGCAGAAGCGATTTGTTCACGCTTGTACGAGCAGATACACGTCAACGTGTTACGAGACTTTTGTAATTCGTGACTCACACGAGACTTTATCGATCAACCATTTTTTTTACCCTCTATCGAGCACTGACGACACGGGCATACCGCGAATGCGTAAACCTTTAAATCACTCCTTCGGGACTCGTAAATCTTTCCATCATTTCCAATATGACTTCTTTGTGCGACTCATTCTTGAAGTTCAACTTTAGACATGTTTCGTACATTTTGCAGTTCAAGTTTCAAAGTCTTTCGTACATTTTGGAGTTCAAGTTTCAAAGTGTCTTGTACATTTTGGAGTCAAGTTTCAAAGTGTCTTGTACATTTTGGAGTTCAAGTTTCAAAGTGTTACGTACATTTTGAAATCAAGTTTCAAAGTGTCTTGTACATTTTGTTTGAAATCAAGTTTCAAAGTGTAAATCTTTCCATCATTTCCAATATGACTTCTTTGTGCGACTCATTCTTGAAGTTCAACTTTAGACATGTTTCGTACATTTTGCAGTTCAAGTTTCAAAATTTTTCATACATTTTGGAGTTCAAGTTTCAAAGTGTTTTGTGC